CTATTTGCTCAGCTGTTCCCTCCTCCCCCAAGACATAGTCTGATTAAATGACTAAGGTATGTATCCAAGCTGGGATCACAAATGTGATCCTCCTGCCTCAGCCTCAGAGTGTGCTGGGAGTATAACTACTACTCTGACCTTAAAATTGAGAAATCTGAAGCAAGGATCAGATCCAGGACACTGTTAAGAAAAGTTTCTAAAGATGAAGCTACGGGTATGACTGTAAGATCTTTTCTTTGTTGTTTCTTTTTATTTATTTATTTTTTTGGTGGGGTGGGGGTATGTCTATTTTTCAGTTGCGGCTTAATCTTTTTTTTTTTTTTTTTTTTGGTGCTGCCGAACCCAGGGTTTCCAGCTTGCTAGCCAAGTGTTCTACTCCTAAGCTAAATCCCCAGTCCCTATAAGATATTTCATTAAGACCTCAGAAAAAGAGCTGAGTGAGCACGGTAGAACATGCCTATGATCCCAGCACTCTGGGAGTCTGAGACAACTTTGAGGTTGAGCCCAGTCTGGACAATTTAGCAAGTACTCTGTCTCAAAACCAAAAAAAAGGGTAATGTATGTAGCTCATGATGAAGGATCTGGATTCAATCCCCAGTATTACCAAAATAAAGATGCATAAATTTTTAAAATTAAAACACATTAAAAGGAGCTGAGAGAGTAGCTCACTGGTAAGAGTACTTGCCTAGCATATATGAGGCCCTGGGTTCAAACACCAACCAGCACTGCAAAAGCAAACAGAAAGATCATGGATCTGTTCTTGCAGAGCCTCTCTACTAAAAAAATAGGCTATCAAAAAGTGGACGGTGGCGCCAGGGAGATGAGATGCCTCAGTGGAATAAGCGCTTCCCTGGCAAGTGCAAGGGCCTGAGTTCAATCCCCGGTGCCTTAAAAAAAAAAAAAAAAAAAAAAACAGTGGACGGTTTATCAAGAAGACATTTATGAGTATGCATCTGTCTAATGGAGTTAATCTTTGTGATAATCAGAGAAAGGAAGTAGAATTTATGAAGAACCCACCAGAAAACCTCTCCCCGATTCTCCCCTCCAAACTGTACTGGAAAGAAGCAGGCTGAGGAAACTGCTTAACTGTAAACATATTCTAGTTCTCACAAAAAAGGAAAACTCCAGAGTCCAAAGAGTGAAGCTAAGAGCCATGAAAACTTGTTCTCACACACTGTAAGACCTAATCAAAAGAAACAACATTTCCTAGGTTTGGGGATAGTCAATCATCAGTAATGCCTAGCTGGGTGTGGTGTCACACGTCGGTGGTGGCACATCATGTTACCTGTGGAGGAGGATCACAAATTTAAGTCCATCTTGGGCTAAGTAGTGAGCGCTTGTCTAAAAAAAAAAAAAAAAAAAATAGTCTCTGGGTGTGGTAGCACAGGCTTGTAGTTGCAGCACTCAGAAGGCTGAGGCAGGACTACTGGGAGTTTGAGCACAGCCTGGACTACATAGTGAGACTCTGTCTCAAACAAATCAAAACAAAACCAAACCACAACACAACACCACGGCCAATAGAAAACCATGTGAAGACCCTTGGTTCAATCCCAATACCACCAAAAAACAAAAAACAAAAAAAAAAAGAATCCTTTTGGTTTTTCTCGGCCCTTTTTCTAGTGGTGCCAATAATAACTCAATAGCCCTCCTGCATGCCAGGCAAGTATTTTCCCTTCAGCACATGAAGGCACACAGTGGTAGTCAAATACCTGTCCTACCACACTGCATGTCCAGTATGTGGGGAAAAGGAAACTCATCTTTTTAGTTTCATAGGCCCTCAGAGTAAGAGGAGCTATGCTTAAGGAAGTCTACATGGAGTTTATTCAAACTTGGACCTGATTTAGATAACAAAATGTGGGGCTTTGAGCTAATGTGATTATTGAATGACACTTCTGGAGACCTTGTGGGAAGAGTATATGAATTCTCCAGGCAAAGATATAAGTCACTGGGAACTAGGGATGACTATGAGAGGTAGATTCCAAAATAGCTCCAAATGACTCAGCTTCTGGTATGGAAACCCCATGCCATTCCTTCCTCTTGGCTGTTTTGTGAGACAAGAGTATCCCTAGGTAGTCCAAACTGGTCCTGGATGCATTATGTAGCTCAGGCTGGTCTCAAACTCACAGCACTCCTTCTATCTCAGCCTCTCAACTGCTGGTATTACAGGCATGCACCACCATGCCCCACTTATTTCTTGCTCTTCAATGTGGACTGATTAATGACTGGAAGGTGCCAATGCTAAGATTAGTTTACAAAAGACTGTGACTCGAGTTCAGGCATTCTTTCTCTTCACTGTGAAAGAAGCCAGCTGTCATGTTCTGGCTCTCTTAAGGAACAAAGAAAGGACCCCAGTACAGAGCCATCCTCAGCTCAGCATCCCACAGAGGGGTGAATAATGCCAATAATCACATACATGAACTGAGAAGGAAACTCTCCCATTTGGGCTGTCACACATGTCCCTAACCTGGTCAAGTGAATGACTACCACCTCATGGGAAACTCTTAAGTCAGAAGGTCCAGCCAAGGTACACCTGGATTTCTGATCCACACAAACTATGATATTGTTTGTTACTTGTAGGCAGTTAACTTTGGGAGTAATTTTTTATATTGTGATAGATAATATAAAACTAAGTCCGGAGGCCGGGGAGATAGCTCAGTGGAATAAATGCTTCCCTGGCAAGCGCAAGGGCCTGAGTTCAATCCCTGGTTCCACCAAAAAAAAAAAAAAAAAAAACTAAGTCCAAATATTTATTTACACTAGGATCCTTGTGATAGTTTGACCGTTCACTGTTTTAACCATAGCAGCATTTCTAGGGTTAAATTCTAATCTGAATTCTCTCTTTGCTCACCAAAAGATAAAGGATTGAGATATCTGAGTGCCATAAAGTCTGCACACACCCCTAAAAACATAACGGCATAGACATACTTTTCTAAATAGCTAAAGATGAGCTCCTAGTGAACCTCACAAATTTAGTAAAGAGGACAAATAATGATCTCATGAAAAACAGAATGATGATGGCCCTGGACCAGGTATGGGGATAAATTCCTGTAATCCCAGTTACTTGGGAAGTTCAGGCAGGAGGTTTCCAAGTTTGAGGCCAGTCTGGGCAATTTAGAAGACCCTATCTCAAAATAAAACGGGCTGGTGTGGGGCTGGAGAGATGGCTCAGTGGTCTAAAGCACCTACTTGAAACAAGCTTGGCAAAGCACAGGGACCTCGGTTCGATCCCCCAGCACCACATGCCAGCCAGCCCCGCCCCCTGGTGGGCTGAGCTGGCCACACACAAACACACACACACACAATAAATAAATGTAATAAATAAATATTTAAAAAAAAAAAAAAAAACGGGGTGGTATAGGGACTGCAGTTCAATCCCTGGCACCACATACCGCGCCAGCCCCACCCTCAGAGTGGGCTGAGCCAGCGCCCCCAAAAAATAAAATAAAAAGGACTAGGCATATAACACAGTAGAACACTTCTTGCTTGGCATGTGCTAGCCACTGGTAGTTTGATCCCTACTACTACCGAAGAAAGAAAAAAGTTATGGAAGGAGAATATGACTAGATGGTGAAAGGGGCCAAGGAACCAACCTCGTATTTAGTACTTGCAAAGTCTCTCCAACTACATGTGAGAAACTACGACCAGAAACAACTGAGTCCTCACTGACTTCCTCCACAGGTGGAGTATGAGGTAAAACATCAGGACGACCAAGGTGGACCTCTGGAAAAGATAAAAGGAAAGAAAAAAAAAAATCAATAAATGAAACAGAAGAGCATGTAATAGGCAAAGGGAATAAAGGGGGTAACGTGGTGATCCTGGCCACAGAGGACAGACTCAAAGGGAGGGTAGAAAAAACGCAATCACACAGGGATCCCCCATCCTGACGCTGACCTGGCTCCACTTCTGCCTTTGTTGTCACTTGTGCTCTGTGCTCCCCAGAGGCCGACGACTGGTAAGTACTGCAGGAGTTGCCGCTGGGGCCTGCTCGCCGAGAGAAAGATGAGCCAGACCGAAACTTTTTGGAAGGAGAGGGCTTCACTTCAAAAGGGAAAGAAAGCCTACTTAGCACCAACCTCAGAAACCATCACCAAGACACAGACACAAACTGCTAGTTCTCCCCAGCACACACCCAAAGTTATTCTGAAGCAAAGCAGGAAGAAAGGTTAATGTCACAAAGATGGATTCTAGCAAGTACTATTCAGAAGGAAGGCCTGTCTTCACTTTGGAAAGAAACAGCCTTGGGCAAAAGTGACATACGTATACCCCTCCTCAGCCCCCAATACCTAGTCTTGATGGCTTTGCCTCTACCCTTAATTCCCAGTAAACTAAAATAAAGACGACCCTTTTAGTATACATCTTCTAAGCACTTATGAACACAGCAATATAATTCACATTATTATAGAACAAAACAAAAAATGGCCGGGTGTGGTGTATATGCCTGTAACCCCAGGACTCAGGAGGCTGAGGCAAGAAAGAGAATCATTGTAAGTTCAATCAAGGCTGGCCTGGACATAGCAAGACCCTGTCTCAAAAACAACAACAGAAAGGAGTTTTCCATGCCTCTTAAGACTATCTGGCACACCTAGGATCCTCTGCCCAATTATGGGACTAATGAGGAGAGGGAAGAAGAAACTAGAATTTGCCAGTGGCAACAGTCTGGAGAATTTGGGGGTGGGGAAGGAATCCAGCACTTCCAAGGAAAAGACTAAGAAATCTCACTAAACAGAAATAGTGATACTTTACTAGACTGAGAATTCCTAATTCCTTGGCACCTGAGATACACATGAAAAAAAAAAAAAGACATGTAATATCCTCGTCTATCTCTGTATACAAGTTTGGCTCTATCTGAACATGTGGCATAGATACAACATCCACAACTATATATTCCTTTTTTTTTTTTGCAATCCCACCACTTTCCCAGAAATGGCCCTCACCTCAATGACACATGTAGGGAGAGTCAGGGGGGAAGCAGCAACTTGGAAACGACTGGGACAGACAGAGTGACTGACAAAAGGACGAGAAGCAGTTCTCACGGGGTGCAGGCAGAGCACAAGAGGCCTCTGGCCTTTGCAGCTAGCTCCCTGACAGAGGTGTCCTGCCCCCCATCTGTTGGGGTAAGGGAGCCACTGAGGGGTCATCTGGTAGAAGCCACTTACGGGGGATCTTCTTGAACACTGTGTTGCACATGAAGCGCTGGAATCGCTCAGCATAGAAGCCTGGACGGTGCACTGATACAGTGTCCTACAGAGCAGAAGAGAAGGCTACACAGTTAGACACAAAGTATCCCAGTAAGAGGATCTGTAGTCTAAGGGCCATTTCCCGTTAGACAAAGACCTTAGAGAAGGGTAACACTCAGAAACAAAATTTAAAACTGCATAGAAGAAATCAAGGGAGGCAAATCAGAAGTGAGAGGCAGAAGCAGGAGTCTTTAGCTTGATTGCTACTCACCCCATCATGTACCAGTGCTTTCCAAGAGTGCTCCAGCTTCTTAACAAACCTGTCAAGAAAAATTTATATCACACTGTTATTGAATGAGGGCACTTAATAGTTTTGGCATTTCATTTCCTTTTGTTTTAGTGTTCAAAAGAATAATAACAAATAAGTAACACCTTGAAGAGACAAAAGCTAGAAAAGCAGCCAAGTGTAATGGCCTGTACCTAGAATCCTATCATCCGGAGGCTAAATCAGGAGGATCATTGGGAGTTTGAGCCAACATGCACTGCATAGTGGATTCAAAACCAGCCTAGAGCATATAGTAAGACCCTGCCTCAACCCCACTCACACAAAAAAAATGAAAATTAAAAGCTGGAAAAGACATGCACTATGGTACATTGGCTTTCCAAACAGCCATGGCAGTGCTAGTTCAGCAAGTAGACCAATGCTGTTTCCAGGTTAAGTCTATTGTTCCCCATGAGAAAAGAGTAATTTAAATGTCCCTGGCAAGTGAGAGACAAGATTCATTGTAGATGTGAGGCACAACAGCCCACAGCTGCAACTCCAACTACCTGGGAGACTAATACAGGAAGACAGCAAGTTTGAGGCAAGCCTGGGCAACTTAAACTCTGTCTCAAAATAAAATGTAAAAAGGGGTAGGGGTGTGTCTCAGGGTAGCACTTGGCTAGCATGTATAAAGCCCTAAATTCCATCCCCAGTGCCAAAACAAAAATGAAAACACAAGGCGAGCTGAAGGAACAGATGTGCAGGAGCCTGGAAAGGATGGCTAAAATTGGATAATCTGCCAGGAGTGGTAGTGCATGCCTGTAGTCCCAGCACTGGGGAGGCTGAGGAAGTAGGAATTACATAGTAAACACTGTCTCAAAAAATTCAAAATAAATTTTAATTAATTTTAAAAATTAGACAATACTCTGAATCAATAAATGAAGTACTGTCTATTTCTCTTTAGTACTGAAAGGTTACAGGAGCAAAACATCAATCTAACAAGTCCAGTTTCCCCTCAGCACCACTCCACTGCCTCTCCATCTCTTGGGCAGCAATTCTGACAGAAGTTCTTCCTCTGTGGAAAGGGGCATGTGCTTCAGCTTCATCCCAATGTGGAGAATGACTCTCTGCACAGGGTTTTCACAAAGAGCCAGGCAGATGATGGTGTGCTCTTTGCTGGCACTACCGAATGCAGACTCAACCTTGCAAAGAAGGTCTATATCATCAGTGAGGAGGCAGTGGGGTAGGGAAGCCACAGAAAGAAGCCAACCATCTAAAAACATCATTAATGAGGTAAGCAGCCAGATTGCAACTTACTCTTCTTACCTGAGGAAGAACTTAACAACAAACACATCTAACAAAGCAATGTGAGTGGTTTCTGCAGTGGTCCTGTGCTTCTCACCTGTAAGACTGCAGAATATCAATGATGCCAATGTAAAGCAGAAGCCTTTCCCCTTTATTATTGCGGGCAGGGATGCCACCCATGCTGGGAAAGACAAAAAGGAAAGAATTAGGAAATCTGTTAGCTAGAAGGTAGAGGCTTCTCCTAACCTTGAGTCAAGTCAGGATGGAACTAAGACCTAAATATAACTGACTTACCCTCTATAAACTGCAAGTGTGTGAGATTCCTTCCCCTATGTGTAAGAATCTCTTGGGTATGCACTACAATCTCCTGTCTAATCTCTGCCTACTGTTACTACCCTAGCTCCACACACACACAAAAAAAAAGGTAAGATCCTAAAAGCACTGCTACCCAGCAATATGGTGACTACTCCCACAATGGACTCAGAATGTCAGACATTTTATAACTTGTTGCCTACTAAAGACATTCTTCTGGGGCCGGGGAGATGGCTTAGTGGAATAAGGGCTTCCCTGGCAAGCGCAAAGGTCTGAGTTCAATCCCTGGTTCCGCCAAAAAAATAAATAATAAAATAAAATAAAGACATTCTTCTTTATTTTTTTTTAAATTTATTTGTGGGGGGGCTGGAGAGATGGCTCAGTGGTCTAAGGCACCTACTTAGAACAAGCTT